TCCAGTCCATGTCACGCCATAGAGCATACCCCACAGGTAGCAACCCCCCAGGGGAAGCGCGAACAACGAGAGACACTGACACAGGTCTCAAAGGTCCCAAGGGTGTATATTGGAGAAGCAGAACACAAACCAAAACCCATGCATACCGACTGCCCAAAGGGAGACAAAAACCCACACTAGTCAGGCAGGAGAGGCAAATACTAGAGAAACCCCGAAGCTGCACACCCAGCCACGATTCATAGAGAGTCAGAGGACTATGAGGAGAGCTAGCATTAACTTCAACCGCCCCGGAATGACGGTCGAGAGTGGTCCGATGAAACATAAGACTTGTGAGAAATGGGAGGACTCAAGACGCCAGGCCCAAAGCGCAAGAGCGACGCGCGTCTCCCCGCCATGCTCCCGCCCGGCGCCCGAGTAGACGGACGCAGGCATGAGCCACCTCGCCCGCTAATTGTTTAATATTTTGCGGAGACGGGGTCCCTCGCTTTGTTGCTCAGGCGCCTTGAACTCCTGGCCTCAAGCGATCCTCCCCCCTCAGCCTCCCAAGTAGCTGGGATGACAGGCGTGCGCCACTGCGCCCGGCCTGCTGTCACTTATCCACTTGTCACCTGTCCTGCTCACAGCTGTGACCCCACGTACATGCTCAGAAAAGGGAACCCACCCTCCCTGCCTCATCGAGACCCATCATGTTGCCTTTCCATTTTCCACATGCGGAAACTGAGGCTCAGAGAGGCAGGGTCACCTGCCCAGGGCACATGGAGCAGAGCCATACCGGCTCACCGGGAGACAGCAGGGTTGGCCAGGGAGACTGTGACCCCCCACTCCAGGGGCCCCAAGAGTGCCCCTGTCCTGGAACTAGGCCCACGTGACAACCCCCTTCGTCAACACCAGACCAGCCCAGGGTCAAAGACCAAGGCTGGGCGGGGCGCGGTGGCTCACGCCTGTCATCCAGCGACTCTGGGAGGCTGAGGCAGGAGGATCGCTCGAGGTCAGGAGTTGGAGCCAGCCTGAGCAGAAGCGAGACCACTCTCTACTAAAAATAGAAAGAAACTAATTGGCCAACTAATATACATAGAAAACATTAGCCGGGCGTGGTGCACATGCCTGTGGTCCAGCTACTCGAGGCCTGAGGCAGGAGGATCGCTGGAGCCCAGGAGTCTGAGGTTCTGTGAGCGAGGCTGACGGCACGCCCTCCACTCCCTAGCCGGGGAACAGAGCGAGACTCTGTCTCAAAAATAACAAAGAGATAATATCGCCGCCGTTGCTGGTGGTATTCGAGCGCCACCTCAGAGGGAAACTGAGGCCAAGTTCACACCCTTCTGGGACTCAGTTTCCTCCACCTGGAACATGAAGCTGGCCTGCCAGGAGCGGGCTCACCCAGGAGGCAGCACCCCGAGGGGGTGGGTGTGTCTGCGCGGCTCGGCGGCCCCCAGGTCCCGGGAGGCCCCAGCCCGGCAGAGGCAACCCACGTCCTCTGCCCACCTCGCCCTGCGGCAGCTTTGCAGGACGACTTTGTGTAGCCCTCGCCGGCGTGCCCACGTGTCCGCTCCCCCAGCAGACGTTTATAGAGCACCTACTGTCTGCGCCAGGCCCTCGGGGCCGGGAACACCGTGTGGGTCCGCAGGTGACCCGTGAGAAAGGGGTTGAGTTTCTTTCTTTTTTTTGTTTTTCCTTGAGACACAGTCTCGCTCTGCTGCCCGGGCTAGAGTGAGTGCCGTGGCGTCATGCCTCGCTCCACAACGCAACCTCCAATCCCCCGACTCTCACTGCGCCCCGAAAGCGATACCATCCACAACCCCACACTCCGGCTCTCATGCCTTGAAGGCCCCAAGGGACACACACTAGCCTTTGCTAACGTCCAGTCCGGGTTCACCCCAGGCCAATCCCTGCGCCGGCCCTGGGGGGGGTTCTGGAGCCGGGGCGGGATGTGGGTCAGGGCCGAAGTCACGGTGCTGCTGTCTGCCTGCGCAGGAAGGCTGCGCGGCGCCCTCCGCAGCAGCTCCCTACTAACGTTTTTTTCTATACTTGAGGGGTGCCTGCGGTCCCGACTAATGCACCCTTGGGGCAACCAGATATTTCCGAGAGGTTCTTCTGCTTGGTCTATTGGCCCTGCTTCTCTCATGTAGGAGCGCACGGCGCGCCGCGCGCTCTCGCTATCTCTACCAGACTCGAGCTAGGGACGCTCGAAGCGGGAGCGCGTGTAACATCTGCTTCCACACGATCTGGGAAGGGACCCATCAGGGGGTGGGACGGGTCACCAGGGAGCTGAGCCCGCATAAACCCGGGCCGTGCAGGCGGATCGAGCTGTCGCCAGTGGAGGGGCTGTGATGAGCAGGCGAGCAGCCGGTCACAGCACCGCAAGCAGCGCCCTGTGCCTGGCCAGGTTGCACGCTGCTGGCAGGATGTATGGGAGCGCGCGCCCTGTGCTTGCGGAGATGAGTGCCAAGGGCTACGCGCAGAGAGCACCCAGGGGAGCGACCATGCCACGAGTCCCCGCAGTGTCACCGTGGCGCAGTCCCAGGTGCGAAAGGGTAGAACTGAGCCAAACAACCGAAGTGTCTTCCGAGTGTAGATTGTTTTTATTTCTGAGAGACAGAATGGAGAGGTTGCGTATATGCACCCTGGATCGCACTATGGTGAAGAGGGAGCCGAGATGCGCGAGCCGATGCATCCCAGCGGCCGAGCCGGGAGGCCACCGCCCTCTCAAGCTCCCTGGCGTCTGGAACACGATTCGCCCATGCTCCAAAGCCCGGCGTCATCTGCAGCACCGCATGGTCGGCTGGGACTCACACGTGCCTAGTGATGACACCCATCCGACCGCAGGGCGTAGAGGCCAGCCTAATTTCTTTTTGTATTTTTGGTAAAGATTGCGGTCTACTTTGTTCAGTGCTGGTCTCCAACTCCTTGCCTCCAGACGGCAGAGACAACAGATAATACACCGTGGCCCATGGCCCTCGGCACAGGTACGGAACTACGCAAGGCACACGCACCCGGACCTATGGTGGATTGCATCATGTCTCTTTAGAGAGCAGCGAAGCTCTTGGGCGCTTCTATGTCTGAACTTATGGGAGAGTTGAAGGAAGTCGCCGTAGAGAGCCGTCCTGAGCTCAAGCAAGCCTTCCCAGCTCTGCTACCACCTAAGAGCCACACCGAGGAATCCCTGAGGCGGCCAAGCGCGCCACACGACGTCACATCAAGCTCAGCTCCCCGACAGGGCTCGTAGTCCACTGGGACCCCTACACAGCCTGCAGGCGGGCGCGCAACCACCCACTATCGAATGCCGCTAAGGGCATTTTGGTGTCCTAGACACCTACACTTTGCCTATCGTTGCCGAAGTGTAAGAGTTTCCTACACACAGCCCCCGGAAGACCCCGGTGGCCCGGGAAGGCTGTGAAGGCGCTGGGCGCCAAGCAGAGCGACGGGTCCCCGACTGCCCGCACAGGCCCGCCCAGCCCACTCACCTGCCCCTGAAGCTGACCCACCAGCCCACCGGCCCAGCCTGAGGCCCAGGTGCCCGGCAGCTTTGTGACTCACAGCCGGGTTCCGGCCAATCCCCGCGGCCCTGGGGGGTTCCTGGAGCGGGGCGGGATGTGGGTCAGGGCGAAGGTCACGGTGGCTGCTGTCTGCTGCGCAGGAAGTCCGGCTCGGCACAGCTCCCTACCGTCTGGGGGTGGCTGCGTCCCACAGCCCTGGGCAGTTTTCCGAGAGGCTGCTGGTAGGGCCGCCCGGCCTCCCTGCCCCGGCCTCCACCGACACAACAACTCAGATGATGTGGGGTGGTAACATCTGATTCCTCTGGGAAGGGACCCATCAGGGGGTGACGGGGTCAACCAGGAGCTGAGCCCGAAATGGGGAGAAGGAGCTGTCGGTGGGGGTGGGGGGGACAGAGGAAGCAGCCGCCTGTGATTAGGAAGAGCGAGGAGGCTGGTGAGCCAGGTGGGCAACCAGGGGCCTGACAGGTGGGGCCTCTGAGGGGAGTACAGGAGTTTGGTTTATCTTTTTTGAATAGAATCTTGCTCTGTTGTCCCAGGTAGAGGCAGTGACGTGATCCCAGCCCACGGCACCCTCCAACCTCCTGGCTCAAGCGATCCTCCTGCCTCAGCCTCCTGAGCAGCTGGGACTACAGGCATGCGCCACCGTGCCACCCTAATTTTTTTGTATTTTTGGTAAAGATGCGGTCTCACTCTTGTCAGGCTGGTCTCCAACTCTTGGCCCTAAGCAATCTCCCATCTCGGCTCCCAAGAGTAATTTGGGTTTTTTTTTTTGAGACAGAGTCTGGCTGTTGCCCAGGCTGAGAGTGAGTGCCGTGGCGTCAGCCTCGCTCACAGCAACCTCAGACTCCTGGGCTCAAGCGATCCTCCTGCCTCAGCCTCCCGAGGAGTAGCTGGGACTACAGGCATGCGCCACCATGCCCGGCTAATTTTTTCTATATCTTATTGGCCAAAATTATATTTTTTTTCTTTGCATGGATGGGTGGGTGGATGGCAGCCGGCCGAGCCTGCGGGCTTGGAGCCGGCCGCTCCGGGGTCTGAGCGGTTCCGTCCCAGGGTCCGGGGGTCCATCAGCCGCACGGTCGGCCCTTTGGATGAACTCGACCGCAGCGAGCGGCAGACGGCAGAGACAGAAAAAGGGGACTGGGGGTGATGGGAGGAAGGACTAGGGCAGGCACCCCCCGGACATATGAGCCGAGCACTGGGCTCAGCAATTTTGAGTAAACTGAGTAAACCTCTGAGCCTCAGTTTCCCCATCTGTCAGAGGAGCTAAGCCCACCGTCCCCAGGGGCCCAAGGAGACACGACAGGCTCTCCAGGGTGGGCCCCCCACCCACCATCGAGGCTTTGGGGGCCCCAGCGCCCCTGCCTCTGGGGGGCTGAGGAGCTGACCCACCCCCCGGAAGACCCCGGGGTGGCCCAGGAAGGCTGTGAAGGCGCTGGGGGCCCAAGCAGAGCGACGGGGTCCCCCGCGTGCGCCCCACACAGGCCCCCGCCCAGCCACACTCACCTGCCCCTGAAGCTGAACCCACCAGCCCACCGGCCCAGCCTTGAGGCCCAGGTGCCCGGCAGCTTTGTGACTCACAGCCGGGTTCCGGCCAATCCCCGCCGGCCCCTGGGGGGGGTTCTGGAGCGGGGGCGGGATGTGGGTCAGGGCCGAAGGTCACGGTGGCTGCTGTCTGCCTGCGCAGGAAGTCCGGGCTCGGCACAGCTCCCTACGTCTGGGGGTGGCTGCGGTCCCACAGCCCTGGGGCAGTTTTCCGAGAGGCTGCTGGTAGGGCCGCCCCGGCCTCCTGCCCCGGCCTCCACCGGACACAACAACTCAGATGATGTGGGGGTGTAACATCTGATTTCTCTGGGAAGGGACCCATCAGGGGGTGGGACAGGTCAACCAGGGAGCTGAGCCTGAAATGGGGAGAAGGAGCTGTCGGTGGGGGGGTGGGGGGAGGATAGAGGAAGCAGCCACCTGTGATTAGGGAAGAGCGAGGAGGCTGGTGAGCCAGGTGGGCAACCAGGGGCCTGACAGGTGGGGCCTCTGAGGGGAGTACAGGAGTTTGGTTTATCTTTTTTGAGATAGAATCTTGCTCTGTTGTCCCAGGTAGAGGGCAGTGACGTGATCCCAGCCCACGGCACCCTCCAACTCCTGGGCTCAAGCGATCCTCCTGCCTCAGCCTCCTGAGCAGCTGGGACTACAGGCATGCGCCACCATGCCAGCCTAATTTTTTTTGTATTTTTGGTAAAGATGCGGTCTCACTCTTTTTCAGGCTGGTCTCCAACTCTTGGCCTCAAGCAATCCTCCCATCTCGGCCTCCCAGAGTAATTTGGGTTTTTTTTTTGAGACAGAGTCTGGCTTTGTTGCCCAGGCTAGAGTGAGTGCCGTGGCGTCAGCCTAGCTCACAGCAACCTCAAACTCCTGGGCTCAAGCGATCCTCCTGCCTCAGCCTCCCGAGTAGCTGGGACTACAGGCATGCGCCACCATGCCAGCCTAATTTTTTTTGTATATATTAGTTGGCCACTTAATTTCTTTCTATTTAGTAGAGATGGGGTCTCGCTCTTGCTCAGGCTGGTTTCGAACTCCTGACCTCGAGCGATCCTCCCGCCTCGGCCTCCCAGAGTGCTGGGATGACAGGCGTGAGCCTCCGCGTGCCGGCCTGAAATTTGGGTTCTCTGGGGAAGGCACCAGGGAGCCACGGGAGAGCTAGAGCAAGGGAGGGGTGGCAGCTTCTGACCTGGGCCCCAGGTCTGGCTGTGACTGGGGACTCCTGAAGGTGGGGCTGGACCTGGCGCCCTGCCAAAAGTGGGCGTGGCCCTGGCTCTGGCGGGGGAAGGGAGGCCACTGCCCTAGGTCACCTCCCTGGGCTGCGCTGGGTCGGGGCCCAGTGTGAGTCACCGCGGGCCCAGCCCGAGGCTGACACGCAGCCTGGCCGCGGTGCAGCAGGCTCCGGCCAAAGCCACACACAGCCTGGCCCCGAAGCCTCCGCCCGGCCTGGCCCCCTTGGGGAGCCGCTGGGGGCGGGGGGGCCCGGGCAAGAGGCCAGGAGGGACCCCTTCCTCTGTCCTCTCCTCTATTCCGTTGCTATGGCTTCGGGCAAAACTGGGGCCGTGGCCATCGGACAGCACGTACATCCTCCGTGTCTCTGCAGTGACCAGAGCAGACCTCACCCGTGCCTCAGTGGAGCCGCGCACGGACCGGGCGTGGTCAGGGAGTAGCAGAAGGGACACAGGGCACTGCAGGAGCCCGGTAAGGGCCTGGCCCAGCCCCGGGGGGGGACACCGGGCACGGGCTCCCGAGGACAGCTGGGAGGTGGAGCCCAGCTGGGTGGCTGGAGGAAGGTCGCAGGCACCGTGGCGGACTGTGCAAAGGCCCTGGGGCCAGGAGGAAAGAACATAGAGTCGGAGAGGGGAGGTGCCAGGCAGGACACGTCCAGGTTCCCCAGAGGGCTGGTGCCTTAGCTGGGAGGTAGGCCAGAGGTCTGGGTTCGAATGCTGCTCTGCCATGTAACGGGGGTGTCGGGTGAGTCGCAAAACTCTCCCGGGCCTCGCCTCCTCTCCGCGCTGGGGTCTCCGCCAGACACCATCGTTGAGTGCGGGCACTGCTGCTCAGCCCCCAGCTGCTCAGCTCCCCGTGCCCCCCACCTCTGGCCTCCAAGATGCCAGCCCGCCCCCCACGGACATCCCAGCACGGGTGGGAGAAGCCATCGGGGCACGGGGACTTACTTGGCTGAGGCCACACACCGCAGCCGCTAGCCGCCACCGAAGCTGGGACCCAGTCTCGGGGCAGTGAAGCTCTGCAGGCCTCAGGTGTGTGTCAAGACCCACCTCGGTGCCAGCGTCCTCCTTGGGCGGCGTGGGGGGCGGGGTGGGGGGCCCCTCCTGAAACACCTGCCTGACCTCATCAGCACGAGAGGCCACTCTGTTTACAGCGCCACCCTCGGAAAGCGTAGGTGGCGAGGGACCTTCTGCACACCTGCCAGCTCACCTGCGACACGGGCACGGCTCACCTGCCTTCCCTGGCAGGGCCCAAGGGACACGTGCCCACCTTGGCCACCCACGTTCACATCCCTGGGTGGCCCAGGTGGGCCAGAAGCCCGAGGCTCAGGGTCCGGACGGCAAAGGCGGGAGCAGGCAGGGGAAGTGGGCGGCCTGGCGTCAAGGCCATCCCTCTGTACGGTGCCCTGAAAAGGCTGTGTGACCTCAAGCCAGTTGCTCAACCTCTCTGAACCTTTTCCTCAAAATGTGGCAGTCCGATGTTGGGGGACGAGGATGCCCCAGGGAGGTACCTGAAAAATCCTCGACTGTGAGTCCTCGGGGACACACTCCCGCGCCCGAGGCGCACCACGTGGGGCAGCCCCCACCTGCGCCCTCCCTTCCTCCTGGGACCACGGGCTCGCCCTCTGTGAGCCCCCACATTCCACTTCCCGCCACCAAACGGCAAAATAAAAGCTCCCACGAAGCGCCAGCTGCAAGCCGAGCACTGCTTTGTAAACATAAACTCTCTTCATCTTCACAACTTTGTACGCGCCGGCTTCCCGATGGTTCCATTTCACGGGCTGGGAAACAGAGGCCCAGAAGGGTAAATGCAAGGTTCAACAAGCTTCTGCCTCGGGTCGGGGCTGTCGCCTTACTTGGGAACAAACGTCGTTGTGTCGTGTGTGTGTTCGGGTGGTTTTTTAA